GGAGAGCGTTGGAGCAGATATGTATACAAGGTTACTCGAAAACAATCAATAATTTATTACTTCGCAGTCTATGATAAAAGTTTTCTACCTTAGTGAGCAGTAAATCAACAAAAACAAACAACGAAACCTTGTTTCTATAACAACGTATTGTTGAAACAATGTAGGTATGCATAGGGGTTATATCAATTGCCAATTTTCATGAAAACGTCAGTGTAATTCGGGTCCTAAAAAATTTAAAGATGCCTCGTTCAAATCGGGTCGAAATGGAAAATATCATTAGGTAAGATCACTATTATAGTGATATAATCTATAAATCAGTACAGATAATTATTATTTCACGTCACGACGATTAGGATATATCAGTCATGACAATAAATTGACTGATTCATCGTTTTGAGGATACAGGTAATCAGTCCATTTAAAAAAAATGCAAAAAAATGTTTGTTTCGGAAACCACAGTAGTTTTTGGCAAAAACTCGAAAATGTCCCGAGGTATGGTTGCTATTTATGAAATGCCTGAATAAAATATGAGCATCGTGGTCTTCCGACAAAATGGGGGGCGGAGAAAATGTTTTCAAAATGCACGAAACTTTGTTTCACCCTGTATCACGGGTCCTGATCAATTTAGAAGAAGCTGTAAAAAACGGTTCGAAAGTCGATGAAAAAGGCATTCAGAATCTGGGCGGCAATTCAAAATTCGTTCAATATTTCAGAAATTACGAGAAGTCAAACTTGATGCCAAATTTCACTATTAACGTTTCAATTGACGCCCAGTTTAGTTTGAAATTTCATCTCTGTAGACAGGTTATAAAATGTCACTTTTCATGAATTATTTTTTTTCCACATGAAAAAGGTGAGTACTTTTTTCCCGTAAATATCACATCCACCTACACTGTTGATGGGTTTTGTTGTGCTATAGTTCCGAAAAATAGGCCAAATCTCCGAGAAAGAACTGCGTTTATCTTCCAATCGACTTCGCTGTTACGTAAATTACTAAACAACCAGTGGATTCGCAATTTTTCATAATCAAATCACAGTATTAGACTGACAAATATTTGATTGTTTTCTGTGGCGGGAAAAAATTTGGAATTTCATCTCTGTTGGCAGGTTATAAAACGTCTCTTTTCATGAATTACTTTTTTCCCGTGTGGAAAAAGTGAGTACTTTTTTCCCAGATATATATCACATATATATATACACTGTTGATGGCTTTTGTTGTGCTGGTTCCGAAAAATGTGTCAATAATACCGTCTCCCAGAAAGAACTGCAAGTCCTCTTATCTTCCATTCGACTTCGCGGTTACGTATATTACTAAACAACCACTAAATTCGTAATTTTTTGAAATCAAATCACAGGATTAGACTGACAGAAGTGACATCAGATATTTGATTACTTCAAAAGAATGATAAAGATGCCTAAAATAATGTAATATCTTCTCGATATTGATTCGTCCTTCCTTTTGTCACCGAAAAAAACAGTGTATTATACACGGGAAAAATATTTGATTTTAGCTCACGGTTTTTGTCTCCCTACAACCTACATCTACTACAATAATAATATTTTCGAGGTAAATTCGACATTGCCTCTTCCACTATATCATCTTTCATTTCGTTATAGGTGATAATTATTTTGACGCCAAATTAGGGAATCGGGTAGTACTCGATAAAATTTTCAAAATGAGGTATCGCAACACCCCTCATCCCCATTCAAAATCCGGGGTTGTGAAAGGGTTGAAGTTACGCGGATGAAGGAAGCAGACGATTCGTTATTCTTCTGTTGAATTGACTCGGAAGTTACTTGATGAAAATTCATGGCAAATGTAAAAACTTTACAAACGATAAGATTTCCACAAAATCCTCGAAACACGACAGGTTTCGCAAACACAGTAGCTTCGTCAGCATTAAAAGTACTGTATCGTCTTCCATATGACATCCCATCAAATAAACTTTATGAAGAAACAAATACATTTTCTATGGAAGAGTATCTGATAAATACTCTCAAATTTTCTTTTGATATTATCAACAAACACCTCAAATCTAACTTCATATTGGTAGGGAATTCTCAAATCCATGAACATCATACTAGACTATATATGACTTGTTTCATCTTGATGCTGCTAATTCTACACTTGGTCAAAAAAAGTTTACTCACGGAGCTATCTCAATAAATTACTGATATCACTATTCATAATAATTCAACACATCCTTATCAACATAAAATTGCATGTAGAACAAATGACACGTTGGGAATGTATATCAAGAATAATAAAGACAAAACTTCTGAATTGGAAAAATCAGGAGTATACAAACGCAACTGTGGATCTTGTCCTAAGGTATATATCGGTCAGACAGGTCGAACGTTTAATCAGCGCATTCATGAACATAAGATGAATTATTTGAAAAAGAAAACAAATTCAACATAAGCCAAACATATATTAGGAGAAAACCATAGTTTTGATGATAATTTCTAAATCCTACACGCAGAAAATAGAGGAATGAAACTCAATCATTTTGGATCATTAGAAATCAACCAACTCATAAATTTCAGACATTTTACCTAACGATCAATTAGACCTCAATCCCAGCGAGCACAAACATCCCTGGGATGTTTTGGGATGTCTTGAAAATGTTGGCATGAAGATGTTATTTTGAGACGTAATATGCACTGACCAAAGAGGTCTTTGAAGGATATTGAAGTATTGTTTTTGTTCTTCTGTGGCATTTCTTTGTTTGCCTACTGAGAGGTATCCCTGGGATGTTTTGGGATGTTTCAGTAATGTAGGCATGAGGATGTTTTTTTGAGGCGTAATATGCACTTCCCAAAGAGGTCTTAGAAGGATATTGAAAGTATTGTTTTTGTTCTTTTGTGCTCTTTCTTTGTTTGCCCCATCATAATGTCTCATGCTTACGTCACAATACGATGAATTCGGATTTGTTTTCGATTTTGTTCTTCTTGTTCGCAATTGGCATTTGCGTTTGCAGCGTGTCACGCTTACATCACGCTGCTAACGAACAGAAAGGAATTTGGTGAAGTTTATTGTGTTAGAAGACTTATTTAGTTTGTATAATAATGACCATCAGATGCAAGATGTGTTGTTCGGTGCCTCAGTGTAATCAATATATAAAAGTACGAATTCATCAATACACAGCTTCTCCGCAGTTGCAAATTATGCATTGAGGAGAACATTTCAAAAATTGGGAAACCTATTTCCAATTATATGTCTGTGCGTAGTAAGCACTACTCAGATACCGATTAAGAAGGTAATTTCATATCAAGAAAATATTTTTATGTTCAATCTATTTTTAATGCATTTTTTCATTCAAGGAAAATGGAATCCTAATGCAAAAGTTCATTTTGACAAAAGGCTTCAGAAAAGTACCCCGAAAATGGTTTTTTTACAGCGATTGAATGTGCGCAAGACGCGTTGAAAATGTTCTGTTGTGTCCATGAAAAGACTTTGAAAAGAACTAGGGAGAAGGTAGTTTTGTGACATATCAAGGACATCTCGATAATTGCCGCCTGCGGCGGACATTTGCTGTTCTATAATAGTTCTATTCATGTGTGAACAGAACATCGCAGTGGAGGTTCAATGTCTCGAAATCTCGTACTTTTAACATCTCTGAGCTGTTTTTGTGCTCGCTGGGATAGTTCACCACTGTTGAATTTGTTTTGTTAGTAAAGTAATAATATGTATTCAAGTATTTCAAGTTAATCCGGTACACCGTATTTTAATGTAGATATTGCGCCTTATTTCAGAAAATGGAGGTTTATCGAGTCTGTCCACAGGTAACTAATCCTTCAGGTTGTGAAAGCCAATGTTAGTTTAGTTCATCGTACCAGTATATCACCTGACGAAGCTACTGTGTTAGCGGAACATGTCGTGTGTTTGAGAATTTTGTGGAAATCTTATCGTTTGTGAAGTTTTTATATTTGCCATGGATTTCCATCAAGTAACGGCCGAGTCAATTCAAAATTTATATAAAATTATCTCGACTATTGTCAATGTCCTAGGGATATTACATACAGGGTGTCCGGAGATAAAACCGACAAAACTCATGGGGTTATAGGGACTGTCAATATGATTGCAAAATGCCATAAACGAATGTCCAAAACGGCTTCGTTACTGAGATACAGAGTGATTTGTGGATTTTGACAAAAAATTCAATCCGCCATATAAAATACAGGGATTAGCCGATTGGATTCAAATTTGGTACGCGAATTACACTGAAAAGCATCAACAAGTAGCCCTTTGATCGAAACCAATATCAGGACCGGAATAATATTTTTCCCCTATGTTGAGTTATTGTTAGGATAACTCACCCTGTATCATAATAACCAAAAATTTCAACTCAGATTCGCAATTTACGGTGAAAATTGTATAGGAATTGGTTGAAAAATCTCCTGGCACCATCTTAGTTATTCCGTAATTAATTATCATTTTGATTTTTTTTCATTGAAAAATCAATCATTGTCGGATAAAGTACGTATATTTACGAAACCAAGACATGAATGTCGTTATTTTCTTCGATCAGTTCATGAGTCGGAGTAAAATGAAATATTCTCGTAACCCGAAAAAACTGAAGAATAAATTCGTATCAGGACTGGAATGAGTGTTTTGTTTGGTCATGTTAGCTGACCTAGTACATCAATAGTTATCAAAAATCTGATCATAGATTCGGAATCTAAAAAAATCGTATAAGAACCTGTTAAAGAAGGATAACAGTGAAGTTTTCGTAAATTATATTCGCTCACTAATGAATTTGAATTTATGAGAATACTACACAACGAACAATAACGTAATGAACATAACAAAAGCAACGAATTCGTGAAAAACTTTCACTAACCAGTATTACAAAACATTTTCGAAGTGGAGCCCTCCAACATCAATACATTTTTGAGAGCGTGCTATTACCTAGAGGATTCACTGACTTGCGAATTATTTGAGGGTTATTTCTAACACTAACACATGCAGCAGTAATTTCCCATAAAAAATTTCTTCATTATGAACTTTTTACTTTAAATGACCTCATGAAAAATAATCTAGCTGAATTCAGATCAGGGGATAGCGGTGGCCAATTTACTGAACCTCCACGGCCAATCCATCTATTGGGGTAATTGGCATCGAGATGGTTTCTAACTGGAACTGAGAAGTGAGGTCTAGCACCATCATGCTAAAACCATATACCTCAGGTATTTACACCTTGCAATAGATCCGGTCAAGTATTGACCAGGAAATTTAGGTAAACATCACCAGTTAAAGCCCAAACACAAATAGAATATCTGCGTATTCCTCATAAGTGAAATGAAACGGCATCATAAGCACACTCTCAGAACTATAGTTTGATCCTAAAAACACTGGAATAATGAATGAACACCAATAAAACAAACGCTGATGACAGCTGAACAATGGTTTTCCATAATGAAATTCTGAATTTGACACAAGCCTAGTATTCTTTATACACAAACATTATAAGGTACTGATACGGATTTATTATTCGAAAGTTCAATCCGATCATTTTTTTGAACTTTTCTCAGTGCATTTCGAATCTGCGATCAGATCATTGTTATACTAGATCATCTATTCTTACAGGCATATAATCATAGAAAACCGCATTCCAGTCCTGATACGAATTTATTTTTCAGTTTTTTCGGGTAATGAGAGTATTTTATTTAACTACGATTTACGGACTGATTGAAGAAAATAACGATATTCATGTCATGGTTTCGTTAATATTTATTATATTACCAATTTTGATAGTACTTCATCCGACAATAATTGAATTTTTAAAGAAAAAAATTAAAATAATAATTAATTACGGAATAACTAAGATAGTGCCAGGAGATTTTTCAACAAATTCCTATACAATTTTTACCGTAGATGTCGAATCTGAGTTGAATTTTTTTGTTATTATTATACAGGGTGAGTTATTCTCACAATAACTCAACATAGGGGAAAAATATCATTCCGGTCCTGATATTGGTTTCGATCAAAGGGCTACTTGTTGATGCTTTTCAGTGTAATTCGTGTACCAAATTTGAATCTAATCGGTTAATCCCTGTATTTGATATGGCGGATTAAATTTTTTGTCAAAATCCACGAATCACTCTGTATGTCAATAACGAAGCGGTTTTGGACATTGGTTTATGGCATTTTGCAATCATATTGACAGTCCCTATAACCCCACAAGTCTTGTCGGTTTTATCTCCGGACACCCTGTATAAGTATGACAATGAAATTTGTTGTTAGCTCTCCGTCTATAAGGGCATTGGATGGTCGTTATTGGACGGTTGATGTGAACTGAACAACGGAAAGCAACATGTACTGCACCTGATAAGCCAACGCGTTGACGATGATGTTGTACGGTACCAGGCCCAAAGGATGTATGTCCCGCATCAGCGCGTTGGCGGGAATCTTGTGAAACTGAATGTAGTCGATGAAGTTGCCGATGACATCCTTTATGCTGGCGTTCGGATCGCTGTCGCAGTATTTCTTACCTAGAAACATTTGCTTCGTTTATTATTTTTTATGTTTCAATCACTGGAAATGATTTCAGTTTTGAATTTTCGAATCACCCTGTATATTGTGGAATTTTTGAGGCAAATCTGAATCAGAACGTGGCATTTTTCTACTATGATTCTATCACTATCAATACCAGTCATGATTTGATTTGAAAGATTTGTTTAGCTTTCGCTATTTTATTTACAAAGTGAATTTAATTCAATTTATTTCCGATAATTTGGATGATTCAGGACAGGTTGATGTCGTTTACACTGATTTTTCGAAGGCGTTTGATCGGCTCGATCTCACCTGTTTTGGTCTCACTCGCGATCTCATTAAGTTCTTTTATTCTAATCCCACCCAGAGAACTCTTAGAGTGGTATACCATGGTCACCGATCAACCGAAATAACTGCAACTTCCGGTGTCCCGCAAGGCTCTGTTTTGGGCCCCTTGTTATTTATAATATTTGTAAACGACATCGGACTTAAACTGAATTGTAATCTTTTACTATACGCGAATGACTGTGAATTATATGGTCAAATCGAAAACCCAACTAACAGCTTGAAGCTGCAAGAAGATCGAGAATTCTTCATAATTCGAGTGCGAGTTCAATCTACTTCCTTTAAAAATAGGAAAATGCAACATTGCATTCAGTTCACTAAATGTTTTAGGTAATTCAGTTCTCTATAAGATTGGTAATGAGTATTTTTATGCTAGGACATACCCAGTGCGGAGATAATGCGAAAGTCGACAAGTTTAGACGCCATTTTCCAAAATGGCGGTCATCGAGGTCGCAAATTTGGAAATTTGATGATCACCGTGGATTCCAGAATATATCCAAAAATCAAAACTACCGAACCTTCTGCAGGGCAAAGCTCACTCACGATCCCTGACAACTGGACCAATCTTGCTGTATAGGAAATTTCTCTTGACCTGACACAAGGAACACAAGGAAATAAGATTGCAGATACATATAGGAGCCTGTTTGTTCACGATTCTGTGTATCAGTAATAAATTTGATTCTTCGATCATTTGTTCAACATTCAGAAATTTCAGCATCCTAAGCATATCTGTAAACTGAATGACAATTTCACTTACCCCACATCAAGGCCGCTTGGAATTTTGTGAATTCATCAGCTTGCAATTCCTCTCTCGACAAAATTAGCCTCACTACATGTTGCGGTAGAAGGGTAAAAGATCCCAGATTCAAAACTTCATTTCCGTGTTCATCGATGAATTCCAAAACCTGAGAATCATTCTGTCTGAGTTTCGAAAAAACGAGAGCTTTTTTCACGACAAAATCACAGAGAAGCATGAATCATTGTCGTTCCAAATGAAAACCTATAGTAAGTAGGCAAATCGCCTTTATAGACTACATTTTTAGTAAGCTATACCGGACTAAGTTATTCATTCATTACGTTCTAAATCAAAAAAAATTTCGAATCTTGTCGACATCTACTTTTCTGTGATGATTTTTATAATCGACATTTCTCATGTTTGAAGATTACGAGTACTTAGGGGAATGTGGGAGAATTGATACCGCGGGAGAGTTGGGACAGTGATTTTTTTTCTCTAGTTTAGTTGGTAGAATTGTATTTTTTTTTTCGCTTGGAGCGCACGAAAGGGAATCCCTATAATGTTCGAAGAATATCGTGCATTCCTAGGGAGGATAGGGATAGGAGGTAGGTATTGGAATTTTTTTTGAACTTCTGGAGATTATAATAATATGTTGTTGGGAACCAGGCAATGAATTGCAGAGCCTAGCCGTTCTATGGATGAAGGAGTTTTGATAAAGTGCTGTTCGACATCTTTCGAGGTTGACAACGAAAAGATGTGCTGACTGGGCTTGTCTAGTTCGTCTGACTGGTATTACTAGTGAAGGGATGATAGCAGAGATTTCCGAATCACATTTCCCGTGGAAGTATCGATAGAAAAGTGAAAGGTCGCCGACCCTTCTACGGTGTTCCAATGATGTCAAAGAGTGAGTGAGTGTGGCGTCACCCACCAGGCAAAAAATATAGACGTGAATAAACCTCAGTTGCAGATGCGTGTGTGGCTCACAATGAGTTTTTAGATCACATTCTATTGAGAAGCTCTGGAACATATTTGACGATTTTGAAGTTTCATGGTACCAAAAAGCATGAATGTGAAATATTTGAATTTTAGTCGAAATACCTTGAAGAAATTCACCTTTATCATTCCATCAATCCTGGTAATAACTGAAGCTTTCAGATCTACGAAAGCACTGAAAGGGGCACAGAATATGTTTTTATTCTTTTGAAAATGTTTCCATTTTATATTTGAATTCAGATTCAGATTTTAAATAATGAATTGAATTCAAGAAGGGAAGTATTCGTAACTATCGTGTCGTCGAGATTGTCGTCCTGTACATGAATTTGCATCAAGAGCCCATCAACTGTGAATGATTGATCAAGCAAGATGTCTGACAAAAAATGCTTATACAGGGTGTTTCACAGATAAATGGGAATATTTCAATGGTACATAGGCGTCACCAAGGTGGATCTGAAAATACCAATTTGATAGGTCTTAGAGTCTTCATAACGGAGATACAGGGCGATTTATCGATTACGAATAATTATTCAGTCGTCTATAAGTATTGAACTACCCAGTATATTTTTCTAAAATTTGGGATGGAGCTTGAACTTGGGACGTTTAATTCATTCACCTATCGGGCGGAGTGAAAATGCAGGTTCGGCTTCAGGAAAAATTTACATTTATTCGAAATATTAAAATAAAACACTGTATGTTATAATTGACAGAGTTCATCGAAGGAATCATGAAGAGGAAAAACTGACTGGATTTGATGCTTTTCGTGTTCCCGCTACCAATTCTCATCGTAACAATCATAAACAGGAAGCTAAAAGTAATAAGTCAACTTCAAGAGTATTAAAATTATGAAACCACTTTCAATTATGATTATTTGATATATTCTTGTTGAATGATCGTTCTAAAGAACTTACTGAGTCTCACAGTCTTTATAACAGAGATACAGGGTGAATTATCACTCGTTCATAAGTATTAAACTACCCATATCGCAGAAATATTTTCTCAAATTTGGTATTCAGCTTAATTGGGACGATGGATTCATTTACCTATCAGGCAGAATGGAAAATACAGATTCAGCTTCAGGAAAAGTCTCATAGTCTTTATAACATAGATACAGGGTGAATTGTCGAATTATTTGTTATTATTTCCATTCCGCCTGATAGGTTAATGAATCCATCGTCCTAAGTAAGCTACATACCAAATTTGAGAAGATGTTAATGGGTAGTTTTATACTTTTGTCTTGTGAGTTATGAATTACAGGAAAATACTCAAAGTGAATGGAGCTTTTAATTATTTTATAAAACATAAAACAATGTACTAACGATATATATCAATAATAAATATATCACCTAAGAAACCCATAAGGTGAAGTATACAAAGTGAACATAGTATTAACAACACTCCCACTCTTTGTTCACTTCGGCATAGTTATACTGAGTCGTTCTCGGTTTCTTGAAAATTTCTCCTTTGGTGATGGTTTGGTTAGAATATCTGCAAGCTGGTTTTCTGACTCGACGTAGATAACAACGACACTTCTTTCTTCAACATGCTGTCTGATGTAATGGTACTTGACATCGATGTGTTTGGTACGTTTATGATGATCAGAATTGCTCACTAAATTGATAGCACTCTTGTTATCAACAAAGAGTTCCGTTGGTTTTGAAACGTCAAAACCAATTTCTTCCATAAATCTTCTCAGCCACATTACCTCTTGCGTTGCATCGGACGCAGCAATATATTCAGATTCCGTCGTGGATCTTGCAACACACCTTCGACGTTGAGATGTCCATGTAACTGGACTACCAGATAATAAAGTCACGTAGCCCGTCGTGGAATATCTTGTATCAACATCTCCTGCAAAATCGGCATCTGAATACGCTTTCAGCCATTCATTACTCCCACTGTAGAGAATTCCGTGATTTGTAGTTCCTTTCAGATATTTGAAAATACGTTTCACAGCTTCCCAGTTTTGTTTCCCTGGATTTTCAAGATATCTGCTGACTCTGCTTACGGAAAATGATATGTCTGGACGCGTTACTACTGCCAGGAACATGAGGCATCCTACTGCTTCTCTATAGGGTGTAGTATTCATGTTTTCTTTTTCTTCATCATTCTGAGGAGACTGGTCTGCATGAAGAATCACATTCGGATCGGCTGGTACTGCATTCGATTTAGAATCTAACATTCTGAATCTTTCCAAACACCGCTGTATATACCCTCGTTGACTGATGAAAATGTGTTTTCGGCTTCTATCGCGTCGTATTTCCATTCCAACATAGCATTCAGCATTACTCACAGTGATTTCAAAACATGAAGTCAACTTTTCTAAAACCAAATTGATGACATTCGCTGACTTACACATGACAAGTCCGTCATCAACATACAGGGCGAGAAAAATGACTTGTCTTTCGATTTCTGCAACGAAGACACATTTATCTGCTTCTATTTGTTTGAAGTGGAAGGATGTTAGGGAGGAAACGAATCTGTAGTTCCAACAGCGGGGAGATTGTTTCAAACCATATAAACTTTTCCTTAGTCTGCAAACCTTTGAATTGTCCTCAGATTCGAAGCCCTTGGGTTGATCCATGTAAATTTCTTCATGTAAATCACCGTAGAGGAATGCTGTTTTAACATCAAATTGTTGAATTTCCATATCATTTTTCGCTGCTAGTGCTAGTAATATTCTTATTGAGTCATATCTAACGACAGGTGAGAAAGTTTCTGAGTAATCAATACCGGCTACTTGAGAAAACCCCTTTGCGCACAATCTCGCCTTATAACGTGCGATCGTTCCATCTGGTTTGCACTTCACCTTGAAAACCCATTTGCACCCGACTGGTTTTCTGTTTTGTGGCAAAGGAACCAACTCCCATGTTTCATTTTTCTTCAAACACTCGATTTCTTCTTCCATTGCCTTTTTCCAGCAAGATCTTTCATGACTCGTCACAGCTTCTTCATAAGTTCGAGGTTCATTGATGGCTGCACAGGCAAACTTATATCTGGATGGGCTATTAATTTTTGTACGATCTCGAAGTTGACGACCGTGATTCCGATTTCCATCGTGATTTGTATCTTCTACGCCATCATCTTGACTGATTTCGTCTTGTATCAGGACCTGTTCTGTTTCAGATGTTGAATCTTCTTGAACTATTCCTGATATTTCTGGCGCTCTGGAGGAACAGGGACCATCGTACAAGAAGACTTCATCGGCATTACTGCTTATGGGTGGACTTTTCAGACACTTTTCGTTGAAGACCACATCTCGTGCGACAGATATTCTATTTGTTTTAGGATCAAATAGTCGATAATTTGAACTATTACCGTCATAACCGACAAAAACTAGGTTTCTCGATTTGTTTTCAAATTTGGTTCTCAACTGCTTCGGCACATGGGAAAATGATTGGCTACCGAATTTCTTCAAGTGACTGAGTTTGAGCTGTTTCCCAGTCCACATTTCGAACGGTGTTTTGTCATTATTTTGCTTGCAGGGTCTTCTGTTGAGAATGTATACCGCTGTATTCACTGCCTCTGCCCATAATGATTTTGGTAAAGAAGTTTCATTCAGCATCGCTCGAGCACTATCAACAGCAATCGATCTCAGGTCCCTTTCGGCTTTGCCATTTTGTTCTGGCGTATATGGAGCACTAGTTTCGTGAATTATACCGGTTTTCTTGAAGTAATCTTCGAAACTACGATTCACATATTCCTTGCCGTTGTCAGTGCGAAGAATTTTGATGTTATTTCCAGTCTGCCGTTCAATAAGCTTCTCAACTTCCAGGAACTTCGAAAAGACGTCGGATTTGTGTTTGATGAAATAGACTTGGCGGTAGGAGGTACACTCATCCTTGAATGAAACGAAATATTCCGCACCACCCAAAGAAGTTGTAGTCATTTTGCCACATACATCAGAATGGATGAACTCGCCTTGCTTGTATTGATGAGGTGTACTCTTACTGAATGATTTTCTCTCTTGTTTTCCATATTGACATGATTCGCAGAAGAGTCCAATAGAATTTTTGATTCTGAGATCAGGAGTTTGTCCTCGATCGGCCATTTCCTTCAGTGTTCCAAAGTTCACATGTTCCAAACGCTCGTGCCACAGTTGGATGGGATTTGTTTCAGCTATATTGACTTGATCGATGGTTGGCATTTCGAAAAACATTTCATAGCAGTGGTTGGGTTGTTTCATTCCAAGAGCAGATAGATTTTCTCCAAAATACACTTTTATGAACTTTCTGTCGAACATGA